AGAATGATCCCTCATTGAGAATCCCTTCGAGGGACTAATTCTAGGTTGTGTCAAGGTGACAAAACTGACCATCACACCCAACCATTGTATGGATTCTTCTTTAAAGATGTAAAGGAAACAAAAAGGGAGGCCTGGCAATAGCATACAGTTTGTAGGACTGGCCCTTCTATCTGGAAGTCACTGCACACTCTAAATCTCTCTTTTCTGGTAGTTTAGTAGTATAAGAAATGGTAAGAACTTGTAGGGCATAGTGGTGCATACCTTTAATCCCAGCACTTAGGAGACAGAGGCAGGCGGATCTCTGTGATAAGAAGGAAAGGAGGGAGGGGGAAGGGTGGGTGAGAACTCAAAAACACATGAAAACTCAAAAGTTGTCATAACCCACAAACAGCCACAGGCACTTCACCTCCAACTGTGTGGTACGAGAGCATTCATAATGTCCAACTGTGTGAAATTACAGCTGGACTTGAACCTGGGCAGCTATTTTTCAAATGTTTACTAGGCACCAAGCCTGAGAATATTAAATGTTTCTACAGAATATCTCCTTCAGTCCTTACAGCAGCTCCATGACACAAAGCATCAGTGTTGGCCCTATTTTGCTCCTAGGGAGACAGAGTGCTTGTGTTATCTTAGGTAAGCTTCTAGAGCCAGTGAGAATCCATACACAAGAGGCAATTGCTGTGGTTACCGAATGAGGAAATGTTAGCAGCGGAACCTGACGACACAACCTATATTGTTAATCATCTCATTGCCCAGCCATGTTGACCAGTAATCAATTTCTTCCACAAGCTGAGGTTAATTCATTTCTCAAACTCCTTCCTGAGCCTCCACACTGCCTAATTAATAATGATCACAAAAATGCATGCTGAGATTATATGGGCCTAATATTTTATTATTCTTGGTGTTCCCCCATTAAAAGTGATCAGAACTGGGGTCAGGGTGTAACTATGTGATGCAGCACTTCCCAGTCTATATGAATCTCCCGGTTTAGCCACCCCTTTATAATAATTAATTAAATAAAGTGACTGGGGCTGAGGTGATTGTGGGTAAAATGCTTGCCACCAAATAGTGAAGACCTGAGTTTGATCCCCAAAATCCACATCTAAAACACTGATTATAGTGGTATTCATTTTGGTCCCAACACGGGAAGTAGAGGCCATTGGCTCCCTGGGGCTCATTGGCTGGCTGGCCTAGCCAAAGAGGCGAGAAAAAAATGTAGAGAACAACTGAGGAAGACATCCAAAGTTGACCTCTGACTTCCACACACAAATGCACACACATGTGCATGTACATACACAATAGAAGAGAATGAAGATGGCCAGGCCCAGAAGTGGTTGACGGAATCTTCATTAACTCACTTAAGAGTTAAAACAATTCTTTTCTCTTTCAAAGCAGAGAAAGGTATCTTGGTGACTGTGTCAGGGTGTCCCAATCCTTGCCATGAATATAGCACAGGCTCCTTTGTCTGATCTTCCTTATCACTTTAGTTTGGAGAGTGTGACCTTTCTGTTTAGAAACACTCACTGGTGGAGTAGGAGTTGTGACCATGGAGATGTCTGACATCTAGACTCCTTGTTAAACTCTGGCCTTCTGAAAGGCAGACTTAAGCCTATACAGTGTGGCCAGTTTTCCCTGGAGGAGTTAAACCTTAGCACTGAATGTTTTCTTTTACCTGATTTTTGTATGTGTGTCTAGGTGTACATATATACTTATATACATGCACACATATGTATACAGGTGTGTACACCCAAGTGAATTTGTGCTGAGGCTGGAGGAAGACAGCAGAGTCCTGCACTGTCACACTTGGGTTTATTCCCTAGAGGCAGGGTCTCTTAACTGAACCTGGAGTTAGGCTAGGAGCCAGCAAATCTCCAAGTCTTCCTCCATCTCACACAGTACAGGGGTTACAGGAACATGTGACCACACCCAGATTTTTATCTTACAGGGCAAGTGCTGTTACCCACTGGGCCCCAGTCCATGAATGCTTTCTTGTCTTGTGTTTCTCCTTTTCCTAGTGAAGAACTCTAAGGGATGGAGTGGAAATAACATGAAGTTCTCAGAAAGAAAGAAGTCAGGGAGGGGGAGACAGGGGTAGGGAGAGAGGGAGGGCCGTATGTAGACATAGTGATGGATCAATAGAAAAAGCAGGTTAGCATGGTGAGGTGTGTGGTGGCAGAAGCCTTTGGTTGGAGATGGTGAGTTTTCTCTATCTGGATTATTGTCATTCAACCCTTAGGTGTGCCATGTGACCTTCATACATGTGCTTCATTGTGCTGTCACAGGTAATTGAGTACACAGGAACCAAGAGAAAAATAGCTTACTGGCAGCTGGCAGAAAACTGTTACTTCACTGTTTCAAAGTCATGTGTCATTTCCTGTCATCTTAATTAGTGTGACAAGAAAACTCATTTCCAAAAAAAATGGTGTGGTAGCTGGGCAGTGGTGGTGCAGGCCTGTAATCCCAGCACTCGGGAGGCAGAGGCTGGTGGATCTCTGTGAGTTCGAGACCAGCCTGGTCTACATAGGGAATTCTAGGGCCATGCAGAGAAACCGTCTTGAAAAACAAAAACAAAAAGGAAGGAAGGAAGGAAGGAAGGAAGGGGAGGGGAGGGGAGGGCAAATGGTATGGTATTTGCTTGTGGTGTAATTGTCCTTGGAAGATAGTGAGTAAGGCTTGGGAGAATTAGTCCAAAGTGTTTATTATTTCATCTGTGTATATATATGGGGTGTGTGTGTGTGTGTGTGTGTGTGTGTGTGTGTGTGTGTGTGTGTGTGTTCATATCTATGAGTACAGGTACATGAATGCCACAGTCTGCATATTGAAATCAGACAAAAACCTCAGCTATCCATCCTCACCTTCAACCATGTCTGAGACAGGGTCATTGTTGTTCACCATTGTGTAATCCCAACTAGCTGACCTTCAGGATCCTAAGGAGTCTCCTCTTTTTGCCTCCAGCCACACTGTAGGAGCCTGGGATTGCAGCTGAGTGCTACTGCATCCAGTTTGTGTGGGTTCTGGGGATCTGAGTTAGGTTCTGATGCTTACACAGCACCAAGCCATCTCCCCAGCCCCTACGTGTCTACCGAGATATTCTGATTCCAGTAGGGCATAATTGTTCGTGCAAATTATTATTGATATAATTAAGTTTAGGTCACATTCAAGTTCATCAAACAATAGCCTCTAATCCTGTAATTGTAGGTTCAGTTGGTTGATCTAAAGGAGATACCCACCCCCAAGATTCTCTGTTTAAATGGATAAGCATTCGCTGCTCCCATTTCTTCCAAAGTTGTTTTTGACAATGTAGAGTTGAGGAGGGCACCAGCACTTCTTGGAAAACTCTCATTTTCAGAGGTCAAGAAATACTGTGGGCTTCTTTTGACAGCTCTGGTTAAACCTGCCAAGAGCCTGTCTGTATCTGCTGGCATTTTCTTCTCAAAGTTAAAAAGAGTTGGGATGCCTGATGCTGTCCTGTGTTCCCAGCTGTTAGTGGGTTGTTAGGCTCAGGTCTGGGCTGTGGCAGCCCTGACATGCCAGGTAGATTCAGCCATCTTTCCTCAGTGGATGGATTAAAGAGACCAGAGATAGTGGAGAACTGAGAAAAGAGAGTTGCTTAATTGTGGCCACACTAGCAAGAGAACAAAGAGGTCTAGTGACTGCCACGTTATCTTTGGGGTCCTGACACAAGGCTTAGGTTTAATCAGAGAAGAGATATTCATCAATAAGCAGGCCTGTTTAAGGTGTGGTTCAGCCCATCACTGACCCATCATTGTCCAGCTCGTCTCTCCTGCAAGGTTGACTGACAAGTTGTCAGTGTGTGTGAAGTCTCTTTCTGGGAGACAGGTTCCTCCCTGGATGACACCAGGCTTTGGCATTTCTTTTCTTTCAGTGGGAAACTAAAGAGAAATTCCAATTCCTTGGGGCTCATTGTTTCAGTGTCTGACATCCAGAGGGAGGGGCCTTACCATCTCTTTAGAATCTCTGCATTCCTGCCTGGATGACTACACTTCTTGGGGGAAATGACCTGGGTATTTCTGAACACAAATGCACAAGGAACCCAACATCCTCCATCCTACCCTACTCCCACCAGGCACGAAGCATCCTGTCTCCTTGTCATTTGATGTGTGCCTCTGAAGCCTTTTCAGACTTGGTTTCTACAAGTGGGCAGAGAGAATCAGGATTAAGCCCCGCCTGGCAACAGCCACGCATGCACGGCACTGTATCCCCACACCTAGTTTACACAAAGACTGTTGCATTTTTGGGTCCACTGACCCATGGTCACATCTCATTGTCCCAGCAGCTCCAGCCACTGAGGGCTCTCTAAGGACCTTTAGCTTGTTTCTGCTGCCATCTACTGTCTATCTAGGGAAAGTCAAGGTTTGCTAGCGGGGAGGGAAGTTGGGAATTGCAGACTTTGCAATTTCTACTCCCAAAGAGGAAAAAACAAAGCCTGCCAGCTGCTGGTGTCCCCAGTGAAAACACCGTCATAAAACTTGTGTTTACTGACCTCCCAAGTTTGAAAGCAGTTTTATTTGAATTGTAATCAAACCACCAAGTGACCTTTCTGCCCCTGGGCCCCAGAGTTCCTGAAAGGGCCCATTGTTCCCTGCTTGAGTGAAGCAGCCTTCTGTTTAGTTAAGCAAGTGTTCTTGCAGTTATGTCTCCCGCTGAGTGACAGAAGGACAATTATTGGGTCTTGGGTTTACTGCTGGTTTTGGGTTCCTACTCCCACCCTCTCTACCCCTACAGCCTCCAACTCTTCTTTACTTTCATACCAGGAAAGGAGATGGGCACAAGGCAAGTCTAATGCACCTTCTATTTTGCACATACTAATCTGCAGATCCTATTAGAAGTCCCTTCACTTTGTCCCAAGCCACCGGCCTCAAGATCTAAGACCCTTGCAGAATGACAGAGGCATCCACAGAAACAGACCACAGGAACTGAGTGATATATTATGTTCATGTGACTGATATATTCATGTGATGTGTTTTCCTGTCTTACAGCTGTTTGTTGGGCTGGGATTCCCTTATGAGGGTCCAGCTCCCCTAGAGGCCATTGCAAATGGATGTGCTTTCCTGAACCCCAAGTTCAGCCCTCCCAAGAGCAGCAAAAATACAGACTTCTTCATTGGCAAGCCGACCCTGAGAGAGGTGAGTCTCCAGAGCATTCTGCTTTCTTCTATGCTTTTGTGTTTGTGTGTATATGGGTGGGTGGCATATGTGTGTGCATGTGCACATGCAGGTGTGCACACGTGTGCAGGCATGTTTGTAGAGGCCAGAGGGTGAAGTGGGTTTCCCTCCCCTCTTTCACTTCATTCACTAAGGCAGAGTCCGTCACTGAACTCAGAGCTCACTGATTTGACTACTCCAGTTTGCCCTGGGATCCCCTGACTCACCTCTTAGGCTCTATGATTAAAAGCAGGCTGCCATGCCCACCCAGTTTTTTCTATATGTGCCAAGGATTCATGCTCAGGTCCTCATGTTTACCCAGCAAGCTCCTATCATCTAAGTCAACTCTCCAGCCCCCACGCCAACTCTATTTTTTAATGAGCACGATGGGTGTTCTTTCTAGTCTTCTAACCACAGCTGACAGCCGAAATGAGGAGGCCACTGGGAGCACTCACTCGCCTCTCCATTGCACGTAGTGAAGTGTAAAGAAGAAATGGTAACCAGTGACTGTTCACAGAGAACATCAGCCTCAGAGTTGGAGAGATGGCTTAGTCAATAAAGTGCTTGCCATACATGTTAAATCCCCCAGAACTCTGTAAAAAGATAAGAGACCTGTGGCCTCCACAGGTGCACACACACACACACACACACACACACACACACACACACACAGAGAGAGAGAGAGAGAGAGAGAGAGAGAGAGCATCAGCCCCTAAAGATAAGACATCATAGTTACAGGGTTGTTCTCAGTTTTTAGCCCACCCTCAGCAGGCACCACGCTGTCACACCATCCCTTCATTGTTAGAGCCTGTCACAGGACCCGAGCCTTGTTCCATTTGCCTCTGCAGATGAAACCTGCAGTGGGAGATGAATCACCACAGAGCATGGCTAGGATTCCTTTGGGGCGATAAACAGAAGTCATTTTACAGCACAGTGTGGGTGATCCATGTGGCAAAGGTGGGAGGATGCTGCATCTGGGCAGACACAGGTGTGTGCAAGAAACCATGAGATTGGCCTATGTGTTATTTCTGAGCAATCAGTGACTCTCCTAGCCACTCATGCATGGGGACATTACAGCAGGATCCCTCAGGGCCTTTGGCTGAGAAATCACAGTGGTGGATAAGCCTAGGGTGACACAGCAGCAACTGTTTCTAGAACATTCATTTCTCAAATCTGTTGCTTTTTAACCCTTTGGGACACTTTCCTGAACTTCTGTCCCATAGTGCTTCAAGGCATTTCTTCCCTCCCCACCACACCCCACCCACCCCGGTTTGTTCTTTGGAAGTCTTTATAAAATGTCTATTTAGATATGTTGCCCCTGTTTGTTTGTTTGTTTGTTTGTTTGTTTTTAGAGAGAGGATCTCTCTGTGTATCCCTGGCTGTCCTGGAACTCGCTATGTAGACCAGGCTGGCCTCAAACTCACAGAGATCCACCTGCCTCTACCTCCGGAGTGCTGGGATTACAGGCGTGCGCCGCCACCACCACCCAATACTTTGCCTGTTTTTAATTGGGGTATGTTGAGGGGTTTTTGTTTTTGAATGGTAGAGGTTCCTTAGGTATTTAGGGTATTAATCCTTTATCAGACATAATTTGAAAATATTTTCTCTTATTTTATTTGTTGGTAACTTGATGTGTAAAAACTTTAAAAGTTGGAGCTATGGAAATAGCTTCAATAGGTAATGTGCTTGCTACACAAGCAGGAGGACCTGTATTCAGTCCCTAGAAGAGATGTAAAAACACCCTAGGCATGGTAGCACTCACTTTTAATCCTAGGACTATGGGGAAGGAGATGGGGGTCCCTGGGACTTGCTGGCCAGCCAGCCTCGCTTGACTGGCTTGTTCCAGGCTGGGAAGAAATCCTATTCCAAAGAACAAGAGGTATGGCCCATGAGGAATAATCTGAGGTTGATCTCTGGCCTCCAACATGCACATACATGTACACACATGTATACATGCTCTCTCTGTCTCTATCACACACACACACACACACACACACACACACACACACACACACACAGAGGACACTCATGAACACATTCTACCCCATGCCCAGGGAATGATGTCACATGCTCACATCAGCCAATATTAAGGTAGTGCCCATTGTCCCCTGTGATTTACCATCATCTAATCACGTGACTGTGCTGAAGCTGGGAAGGGCACTCATTCTCTGTGGCATAAGGAGAGGAGAGACCTTGGAGCACCTGCAAGGGATGATTCTATCAGCCCTTTAGTGAGACCACGAGAGAGTCTGGAATACTGGCATCAGTGGCTCCTCATGTGACCTCATCCAGACAATTCCCTGAGCCCAGTATTCCCACAGGAGGCCGAGATGCCAGAGGGAGTGGGCAGAAGCTGAGCCCATTCACACAACAGCCTGTGGTACTAGCTGCCATCCTGGGGGAGTTCAGCAAAGTGTTTCCCATTTATCTGATATGGAAGCATCAGAAGACAGCTCTGCACCATTGTATAATATCCAGAGAGAGCAGAGTGGGGTTGGGGATGTGGCCTAGCTGGTACAGCACTTGTCTGGCGTGCAGAACCCTAGGTTCCATCTCCAACACCTCATGAAATAGGTGTGGTGGCTCACAGCTGTAATACCTGCACTTTGGAAGTAGAGGCAGGAAAGTAAGAAAGTTCAAAGTCATCATCAGCTATACAGCAAGTTCAAGGTCAATCTGAAATGCTTGAGACCGAAGTAAAAGCTAAGTGGATGAAAGAGGGGTGTTACCTTCAAGTTGTACAAAGGAAGAATGTTCCGTGTTAACGGAACGGGGTGGGCTTTAAATAGAAGAAGAAGGAACTTATAGAGTGATGAACAAGGGAGAGCTGAGGTTAGTTTGCCTCATGCAGGAGAGGAACATCTAACAGCTTTGAGAGGGAGTGGTGACCTTGATCTCATGGCAAAAAGAGACATATGCCCTGCTTTCACAGCTCTCAAAAGCCCCCACATCTCCTTAACCAAGGATGCCTTTAATTGGGAAAGAGCTGCCAACAGGTCTGCAGATCTCTAAATCTAAAACCTCTGAGCAACGGTTCTCAACCTTTGGGCTCAAGCCCCACAGGATCACATATCCTGCATATCAGATATTTACATTATGATTCATAACAATAGCAAAATTACAGTTAGGAAGTAGCAATGAAATAGTTTTATGAAGGGGGTTCACCACCACATGAGGAACTGTATTAAAGAGTTGCCACATAAGAAAAGGTGAGGACCACTGCTCTAGAGGGAGCTGGGGAGATGCTCAGTGGTTAAAGTACTTGTTGCTCTTGCAGAGGACTGTAATTCATTTCCCAGCACCTACATCCAGTGGCTCATCAACACCTGTAACTCCAGTTCCAGGGAATCCATGCCTTCTCTAGCCTCTTTACGTACCAGGTATGGGTACTCAGTACACATACATACATGCAGGTACTCACACATATTAGATAGATAGATAGATAGATAGATAGATAGATAGATAGATAGATAGATAGAAAGATACATACATACATACATACATACATACATACATACATACATACATACATAGAGAAATTCAGGAATGGTGGCATATACCACCAACATAGGGAGGCAGACAGGATCCCTGGAGCTTACTGGCCAGGGAATTGGCAAGCTCGGGTTCATTAAGAGATCCTATCTCCAAAAATAGATGGAGAGTAAACAAGAAAGCTCTCTCTCTCTCTCTCTCTCTCTCTCTCTCTCTCTCTCACACACACACACACACACACACACACACATACACACACACACACACACAGAAAGAGAGAGAGAGAGAGAGATCCTTAAAAATGATCTCTCTTACCTCAGCAAATGGGAAACTTTAACCCAAATTCACATGCTACTATACTGTCTTTGTGTCCATTAGACCCTTCTGTTAAACTACCCTGCACACACAAACATTGGTCAAGGGCATTTGTCTCTATTTCTCTTGGCCTTCACTTGAAGAAAAGGGAAAAAACTGAGTTTTCTAAATTTGAGTTTAGCTTTGTTTTTATTTTTGCATCAGACCAAATTTTCAGAGTGCATTGTCTGCTCAGAGCAGGGAAGAAAAGCCCCAGAATGCCTTAAGGAATGGAGTTGCTTCATTATACTTTAATATAAATTAGATTTTTTATCTTTATATTGGGGAGCATATGAATAGATTCCTGTAAAGGGAGTGTGGAATCTCCTTGGAGGTACTATCGTGGTTCTGAAGTCGCCTCTCATATTTCCCAAGATGCTGCTTGTCCAGAGGATGCCCCAGTAAATCTACTGACAGATACACACTCAAGTGGCTGAGATCAGATCATCCTCAATAAATTAACAAGGAGGAACACAGAGTTCTGAGAGGGCTAATGAATCAAAAATGCCTCACTCGTAAAATTAAGTAACCCTCAGCAAATGCAAACGAATAAAACAGCAATGGCTCAGCCTTGTGTGTTTGCTAAGTGCTTAGGGTAGCCTTGTAAATAAGCAGGGGCCTTAAAAGGAGGGGGGAACCTGCACTACTATGTAAATGACTCGATGGTGACATTGCTGGCAGTTGAAATTTTAGCAGTAGGTGGACTAATTAGCTTGTTCTCGTGGCCACAAAGCAGAAATGATGTGACAGTCTGCCCACTCTCTCAAAAGGTCTAACATGGCATAAATGCAGCCATGGGATATTTGTGTGTGTGTGTGTGTGTGTGTGTGTGTGTGTGTGTGTGTGTGTACATGCCTACAATTGTATGTATGTAAATTTTAGGAAATGATTTGGGGGGGTTCGAGACAGGGTTTCTCTGTGTAGCTTTGGAGCCTATCCTGGCACTCACTCTGGAGACCAGGCTGGCCTCAAACTCACAGAGATCTGCCTGCCTCTGCCTCCCGAGTGCTGGGATTAAAGGAGTGCGCCACCAACGCCCAGGAAATGATTTTTTTTAAGGTGTCATGTCTGTGAACCTGTAACAGTGGCCACATCCCTTTGGGTGTGGCTTCAGGCAGCAGGAAGTGGAAGGAGGGAAGCTTCAGGTGTGGCTTCTGCTCGCTCTTTCTGGTGGGTCAGGTGACAAACAGTAGGAAGGACAGAGACAAGCTCCCACGGTTCTTTGTATTTTTCTGTATAAGTGTTCCTCAATAAACACCCATTTATCATTTTATCTTGGGTCTAGTGAAGTCATTACATCCTTGCCTTCAGCTTTGTTCATTTTTTTCTTAAGAATTTAGTGGTGTTCTCTAAGATGCTTTCCCTTTTTGCTCAAAGATACTGAATTGGAATGGGAAGACAGCTCAGTTGATATAAAAGGCTTGGAGGCCTTGAGTTCAGTCCTCAAAACAAAGGTAAAAAGCTGGCTGTGGTAGTGTACACTTGTAATCCCAGTGCTAATGAGGCAGAGACAAGTAGATGCCTGGGATTCTTTGGCCAACCAGCCTAGGTTGATTTATGGGTTCATAGTCAGTGAAAGACCCTGTCTCCAAGTAAAAGTCTATAAGGGTCTAGAGGAATGACACCCAAGATTGACCTCTGGCCTCTACACACATGTACACACTCATACACACAAACACAAACAAACAAGCATAAAGCTGTTCTGTTGCTGAAGGATCTAGATTTGAACTCAGCTTGGAATCCTTGTGATGTATGGGAAGCCTGCTAAGTAATATATGAGCTGGGGATTAGCCCGCTGTCTGTCCCAACCAAAGACCTTGTGGGTTGGTATTGAATCAAAGTATTTTATACAAAAAAAAAAAAATGTATTGACAAATAAGGCTTCCATGGCTCTGTGGGCCTGCAAAAGTCTCCAGCACTGACCAAAGAGCCTGAAAATCAAGGGCTGTGACAGAAGTGGGAGCATGCACAGAAACCAAGAAAGGCCTCGGGACTGCAAGGTTTTGTAATTTACAGGAAGCTTTCCCAGGGCCTTGTGCTCCTAGCTTCTTGCCCCAAACAGGGCTTGCCAAGCCTGGTGATGAAGAGATGGTGGGTGCTAATCAGCTAATCAGCTTTGTAGTTCTCTAAGTGTCTATGTATTTATGGAATTGGAAGGAAAAGGGAAAAACAAGAGAGCCAGGCTGGCCTGGGAAGCAAAAGTCATAGCATTAGCAACGGCAGCTCTTGTAGCAAATACGTTAGGATGCTTTTTCCAGCTGCGGCGATTGGTCACTTGCTGAACAGGCACTCCCCGGGCTTGGATCCTGAGCACCAACATCCAAGCCAAGCATTGCCTCCAGCACCTGTAACAGCTGTGATGGGGTAGTGGAGACCAATGATCACCGGGGCTTGCTGGTCTGCCAGTCTAGCTAACAACTGAGCACAGGGTCAGAGAAAGAGCTGTCTCACATGAATAAGGCAAAGAGGAGCACAGAAGGTACCCAGTGTCTTCCCCTGGCCTCTGCACATGCACAAGGGCTTGCACCTGCGCCATACAGACATACAGTTAATGAGTGCCTGAGTGAAGAAACTAGTAAATTAATAAGTAAAGAATAAATAGAACTTATTTTCTCTCTAGAAGTTAAGTTGGCAAGTAATAGAACTCGCCTTATAGATCATTTTTTAAAATTTATAATATGTAAAACAAAATGTAAAAAGTAATTTTTAGGAAGAGAATAGGTATTTCATGCAGTTTTATGTACTAAAAGTTATTGTAGAAGATGGGCTGTCTGGTTCCACCTTACAATAAACAGTTGTATTTAAAGGGGAGAAAACATTCAGCCAAGCACTGCTGACCTTATTTTCTTATGTTTGACTTTATGAAAAGAGAGCTGAGTATAATCTGTGTACATATCACACACATATACACAGCTGTCATTAATGCGACATCTACCCATGGACGAGTGTTTTACTGGAGGATAATACCCACAGTGACATTGATGTTGCTGTGCCATTTTTCTGAAATGGTGACTGTTCGTGGATGAAGTCTCAAATAAACCAGTAGAAGGCACAGGGAGTGTCTACCCCACTTGCAGGAGGCACTGGATCCCTTCCCGAGCACTGCATAAGCCAAGCAGAGTGGTCCAAGCTCATCATGCCAGCAGTCTAGAGGTGGAGGTAGGAAGATCAGAAGGCCAAGGTCATCTTCATCTACCTAATGAGTTAGAAGCTGCAGCCAGGACTACATAAGATTTTATCTTAAAAAAAAGATATTTTTTGCTATATATGATGTACACTATAATTATAGCCCTGGACAATTCAATGTGCACTCAGATGGCCTCTAAGGATTCTTTTCCATGAATCCACATGAAACCCCAGGAAGACATGTGCACGATGTCTGGGCTGGTGATGTATCAGGTGGTAAAAAAAAAAAAAAAAAAAAAAAAAAATGCTTAATATTCAATCTTAATCTATCAATTAACTAATTAATTAATGTTCCTTGGGAAATGACAAGTCTTCCTTGTGCACAGCTGTCCTGATGTTATCACCATATATCCTTGGTCCTCACCTGCAATGTTTCCACAAATGTGTACAAGGTTTTTCTTTACCCACTGTCTTAAATAGGTATAAGAAGACCCCAGGAAGAAAAGAGCAAGAGTAGACCTTTGAAGAGCTCAGAGTAGCCCAGATACGGACGTGTACATGCTTGGTTTCTTTGGCTACACATTTTTTTTTTGTTGTTGTTGTTGTTGTTGTTGTTGTTTTTGACACAAGGCCTCACGTAGCACAGACTGCAGACTGGCTTCAAACCAACTGTACATAAGGATGACTCCTGCCTTCACCTCCTGAGCACTGGGATGACAGGCATGCTCCAGTGCACCTGGTTTTATATAGTTCTGGAATGAAACCCGGGGGCATTGAGGGAGGTCAGGCACTCCACCAACTCCCCAGCCTCCTTTAGCCACTTTTTTCCACATTTATTCTTTAAGGAGGGAGCATCCTTGTGCCACAGTACACTTGTAGGGGTTAGAGAACAAATTGCAGGAGTCAGCCCTCTTCAAGCATGTGGGATTAAAATCAGGTCATCATCAGTCCTGTCCCCAAGTGCCCTCACCTACAGAGCTATCTCATCTGTCCTGGCTACTGGAATCTTAAAAGCTTTAGAAGGGAGATCCACTCCTGGCTTTTCTGATTCTAAATTGTCTTTCTAAATCTTATGTTCTGGGACTAGAGGGATGGCTCAGTGGTTAGGAACACATGCTCCTCTTATAGAGGATTAACGTTTGGTTCCTGGCACCCAGGTCAAGCAGCTCATAGCTAACTGCCTGTAACTGCGGATTCAGGGATCTTGAAACCTTTTCTGGTTTCAGTAGGTGGCTGTCTGCACCTGTGCATCTACGCACTTAGATGTGCCCATACATAGACATTTTAAAATCAATGAACTTCATGTTCTGGTGTCTCTGTGATTATTTCTGAAACTATTTGAAAACTTCTGCGTTCTTCTAGTGGCATAATTTCCCTGCTGTCACCCCTATATGCACTGTTACTCATGTCTGTGTGATTTTCCAGCATCTGCTCATTTGTTTGTTTGTTAGCTTGAAACTGGGTTTAACTGTAGTCCCAGGCGGGCCTGGAATTTGTGCTTTCCTGTGTCAACCTGGCAAGTAAAGAAATCACAGGCATGCCTGGCTTATGGCTTTGGTCTTTATTGTGATTTTCTGTGATGACCTATCCATGCTAACCTGGAGAATAGATACTAAATTAATGGAGGTAATTTTGGCTGAGAATAAGTAGTCCTTAAGAGCCCAGGATAACTACAGGGGTGCATTAGCTATGTCCCTCATTGTTGTGACATGGTGACTGACAAAAGGCAGCTTAAGGAAGGAAGAGTTACTTTGGCTCAAATTTCAGGGGTGCAGTATCTCTTGGTAGGGAAGGCATTGCAGCAGGAGCAAGAGGCAGCTGGTCACGTGACACCCACAGGAAGCAGAGAGATGGATGCTGGTGCTCAGCTCACTTTCTCCTGTTTATTCAGTCCAGGACCTTGGCCCATTGAATGGTGCTGTCCACATTTGGGTGGCTCATCCCACCTGAATCAACATGATCTAGAAACTCCCTTACAGGCATGCCCAGAAGTTAGATCCTGTCAGGCCCCGCTTAGTGATAAGGCGACACTCATTTACAGAAGCCTGAGTTCAAACCAGCACCACCTGCCGGAGCCTCTTTGTTATAACATTGCTTTATTTCCAATGAGCTTCAAAAGTTCCGCCTATCACTATTTTTATCTGCCTGTTCTTAGTTTAGGTTTTGATTGCTACAGGAAGAACAAGAATGCCTTATCTCCTGTTTAAGTCCAACTCGACTCATAAAGACAGAGTGCTTTTGTCTAGCCCAGAGCTTTATCTGCGCAGTCCTGCACGTGTGAGACTAAGATACAGAATATCTTCTTTCTTCCAGCTGACGTCTCAGCACCCTTATGCAGAAGTCTTCATCGGCCGGCCACACGTCTGGACCGTGGATCTGAACAATCGAGAGGAAGTAGAGGATGCCGTGAAAGCCATCTTAAACCAGAAGGTTGCTGCTTTTGTTTTTGGTTTTGTTTTGTTTTTTTGTTTATGTTTTTGTTTTTTTCCTGCTTGCCTGTATTAGACCTGTGACCTGGAACTCATGCAGAATGTTGCAGTCCCTTGCTTTCAGTAAACAGAGCTTGCCTCATGAGTCAGACTCAGACCATAGCCTAGCATCTGGTCTAAGGATTTCAAGGAAGCTCTGTGAGATACAAAACAGCTGGTGGCAGATGTGGGTTTGGGTCTTGCAGACCCTACTGACAGGCCTTCTGTGTTCCTGGGTACCAGGCATGAAGGGTTTGGCTTGACTCATACTTATGTAATCTACCCATGTCATTGGAGAGATTTGCAAAATTGGATTGTTTGTGTTACCTTACACAATGGGTAAAGTTGATAAAATTGTTTTGGTATGAGCGCACGAGATCTCGCACGTGCATGCATGTGTGTGTGTGTGTGTGTGTGTGTGTGTGTGTGTGTGTGTGTGTGGTTATACATGTTCCTTTGGGCATGTGGGCATTACACGTGCATTCGCATGCATGTGTCTTCTCTATGGTATCCCACGTGGTTATTTTTCTTGAGACATGGTCTTTCACTAAACCTAAAGCTCATTGAGTTGGCCTGGCAGGCTGGCCAGTGAGCCCAGGGAATCACCTGTCTCCACCTCCAGCACCAAGATTGCAGACATGACCCACCCCACCCGGTTTTCACAGGGATGCTGCAGATCGGCACTCGGTTCTCATGCTTACACAGCAAGCAGCCGAGCCATCTCCCCCGTCTTGAAGTTTTCTACGGTGATGCTGTTTATTTTTTCTATCCAAACATTAGGTAGAATCTTGCTAAAGTAACCATTCTAGACCTTTCTGATCAATTCAGTAAGCATTGATTAAGCACCTGTTGTATACAGAGCACCCTCCAAGCCATTCTGGGAAGACAAGGGATGTCTACCTTGGATGAGGCTGGCCACCACATGGGAAGTCTACCATCCCATAGGACTTTAGTTTGCCCAGGAGTTCTGTTGCAGCTCTGAGGCACAGTGGGCCCTTTACTTCTTCTCTCAAGCACCTTCCCCTTTGGTTATTACTGTTGGTATATGTGTGCTATGAGGAGACAGGTAATTGAAGGCTCAAGAAGGAACTACTGAAGGTGATTATTTGTCCTATCACCAACAATACCGTTGGGCTCCATATAGATGGATTGCTGGTGACTTCCTCTCACAGGTGATCTCCACTTCCCATTCGTGTGACCCTGAAGACACTGGTGTTAGTGTGCCAGTCAATGCTGTGTAGCAGAGCCCAGCGCCATCTCAGCTGTCACCTCCCCTCCCTCACCCCATGACCTCCTGGGGTTTCCTGTCCCCTCCGAAGATAGTGTAAGCCCCGTATAGGAATCGTGAGGCCTTTGTGCTGCTGTCTCCCAGCTGTCCCTTTGTACCTTGTCTCCCAGCTTCCAGTCCCGTGTCTTTTCACATCGTAGTTCACACTCTGGCTAAGGGATGCACCTCAGTTGGAAAAATACTTGTCTAGCATGAATGAAGTCCTAGGTTCCATCCCCTGGTACCAAATAGCCCACGTGTGGTAGAACATGTCTGACTCCTGCACTCAGGAGATAAAGACAGGAGGATTGGAAGTTCAAGGTCACCTCACCTTTGTAGCAAGGCCACCAGCCTATGCTATATAAGACATTGTCTCGGGGGGAGGGGAAACACCATCTCAGCCCTCCCAGGGCCTCTAGCCGAGTTCCTCGGTTGTAGCACCTCGCCCCTTGTTTTTGCAACAGGAGTTCTCTGAATACATTCTCATCTTCTGCTATAGCCATTTCTCCATACCTTCCTCAGAGTAGTGACCGTGTATTCATTCAGCACATGTTGGCTAAATCCCTGCACGCAGTACAACCACCTAGCCCTGAAAGGCTGGTGAACCACAGCCTTTACACCACATGGCCTACCTGCTAGCATGGGATAATATCCACCTCTCTGAAGGTCTACTATGTACTTTACACTACCCAACAAGTTTCCCACCATGTGCCCTCACCACAGCTTAACAGAGATGGTTTTTTGTTTTTGTTTTTTTTCTTGCCGCTCTAATACATCAGGTGTCTGCAACTTAGGGAAGGTAGATTGTTCAGGGTCTAGAGAAGAAAACAATAAGGCCCAAGCCCTGACCAGTTCCGGGTATGTAGCTTTAGCACCTGCCAAGGCTCCCGCTCAGGTGTGGGCATCTGTGTGAGTCAGTGGAGAATCAGTAAGAGCTCATGCCCTGTGGCCTCTTTCACAGTGCCTTCCTGTTTCTGCAGATTGAGCCGTATATGCCGTATGAGTTCACATGTGAAGGGATGCTGCAGAGAATCAACGCGTTCATAGAGAAGCAGGTAAGGCCCATCAGAAGTCTGTCTGTCTGTCTTTGCCGTGTCCCATTTTCTGTTTCCCAGCTCTCACGTGGTGCACTTCTGTGGTTATTTGCCTGAAAGTTTCAGGTGGCTCTATGATGACTTGCTGTTATTTTAAAATGTCTCACTGTCCTGGTCTCCCAAGGGAGCCAGTCTTCCTTACTATATGATCTTTATGACAATGAAAGATTATATGGACACTGAGAATAAGACATTTGAGTGGTCAAGATGCGGTCCTCTCTGACCACTGGCTTGTACCTTGAGCAGATGCAGAAAACCTTGAAGACTCAGGAAAGGTGAAGAGCAGACAAGTGGCTCTCTTTCTACCTTTCATTTCTCACCCCTCATCCCTCCCCAAAAAAGGAAGGATTAGGGTCTGGAAAGATAGCCCAGTCAGTGAAGTGCTTGCCTTGCAAGTGTGAGGATCTGAGTTGAGTCCCAGAAACCACATTTTAAAAGCCAGGCATGAATCACACACTTGTAATCTCAGGGTCAGGGAAGTGAAAACAGGCAACCCCTGGGGTTCACTGGCCAGCCAGCCTATGGGAGTTGGGAAGCTCCAGGCCAGTGAGAGATGATCTTAAAACAAACAAGGTGGGCAGAGCTGAGTAATGGCATCTGACATTGTCCTCTAGCCTCCATATGCACACCTGGATGTATTCATACACACATGAATACTTACACACAAATGCAGGAATCAAGTCTGCACTTTCCCAGTACTTTAAGAGTATAAATGCAGCAACTCTAAACATGTTAGGACTCTTGAGTGGTTTTCCAACTGGGCCTCCTTTCAAAAGAAACCTCCCGTGAAACCCAGGCATATGCTCTCAGAGGTGAAGAGTACAACTATCATTGTGATACTTTATGATGTTGGGCTTCAAATGCAACCCAGACCCAGAAATAGAGAAAGCCAGGACCCCCGTGGAACCTGAACTTCTTGTCCAGTCTAGAAATAGGGGGTTCTCTTTATAGGGCAAAACAATGTTTAAGGATGAACAAGGGACCTTTGTCCATGGGGATAAGAGCTTTAGAGCTGAAAATAGAAACAGTAGAGTCAAAACTTAAATGTAGGCTACCAGCCTGGGACATTTCTAAGGGGAAGCTGGGCCTCTGGGGCATGGGCTCAGAGTATCTGATCAGCTGGGCTGTGGAAGACGAGGCAGGTAACAGGAGCTGGGTGAGTTGAAATGCATATGTGTGCACAGGTGCATGTGCACATATTTGCAAGTGTCCATGCACACGTATGTGTGTGCATGCTTATTTAAGTATGCAGTGCACATGGTGTGTATGCACACATACCTGTAGAAGGCAAAGGACTACCTCAGGTGTCATACCTTAAGTGATGATTATAACATGAAGTTACAGGTTAAAATATCTTTATTTAAGTAATACCGGCCAAGCACAAGCCAGAGCGTGCCCAGAGGCAGCAAGCTAGGGAGGCCAGAGAGCAGGGGCTCCCCACGTGTCTGCTGCTCCTTAAGAATTCCCCCCCACCCCCCC